TTCTTTTTTTTTTTTTAAAGATTTATTTATTCATTCATACAGAACTGGGGTACAGGCCAGAGATGCGGAGGGTAAGGGGATTCACCAGAGACACAGCGGGGAGCAGAACAGGTAGACCAACGAAGTACACTGCTGAGGGAAGCAGCGGGCCAGTCAGGAGAGGTCTGCCACGCCATGTGGATCGCCACGCCATGTGGATCTCCACGCCATGTGGATCTCCTCGCCATGTGGATCTCCTCTGGGGCAGGCGGGAATTGAACTCATGTGGAAGTGGCTTAAGCTTCTTAGTGCTGTGCTTTAACTTGCTGCACCACCAGGGAGGGCCCAAGTAAATAAATCTTTAAAAAAAAAAATACGGGGTGATTTGGTGATGGGAAACCCGGGGGGATTACAATTGAGATGAAAAAAAAAATGTGCAAAATGATGTAAAAATAAACTTTTAATAATAAAAAAAAATACATAACACGACAAATCCAGAGGTTGAAAAAAATAGTTACATGAGAAGAGTGGTTTAATTTAAAGGAAATATATGGAGGAAGCCATACCTACACAAAAAAACTCCAGGATGACTCAAGGTAAGATTAGCTTTATTAAATCCCATTCTTTAGTAAAAAATAGCTTTTCTGTCACTCTTTGTTACCAGAAGGCTTCACCCTTGCATGTTAAATAAAGCAAATTAGAATTTTCTCCAGTTTAAAACATGTTTAAAGGAAAATATCCTATAAGCAGTGTGCTAGCTACATCTAAACCAAATTAACTCCTCTATACACCTCTGTGATTTGTCATCTTTGTATTGTGTTACCATGAAGGTTAGTGCACAGCTCCTCCCACCCATTTGCAGGACAACTAGAATGAGATCTAAAAATGTAATTTGATCCTGTCAGAGGCACCCTTAAAATTTTCCAAAATCTTAGCCATTCTCGGGATTAAAACATCTTTCAGGGGTCAAATTAGGTATCTGCACCTTCTGGTTTCTGGTCCCTTTGGAATTGACAGGCCACCTTTACCAGCCTCAAAGAATTTCTGTACATGTTCCGTCTACTACCTTTTACACATCTCTCAAACTGCCACAGAAATTTCTCATTAAAAAAAAAAAAGATCTTGCCTAATCTCCAGGCCAAGTAATTTAATTGCTACATGTGCTTGTAGCTTGTTCAGGGCAAGTAATTTAATTGCTACATGTGCTTGTACCTTGTAACCACATTCCTTTACTTCAAAGCTCTTGTTTGGTTACTTAAATATCCATCTCTGACTGAATTATAAGACATGTAAGTATAATGTGGTTGTATTGCTCAATTTCTATCCCTTGCAGCTAGTAAAATACCTTATATTTCTTAATAATATGTTAAGTTCTTGAGTCAAAGTGCTACATAAAATAAGCAAAAAGTGTTTTGATGGTGTTTTATCATTACTTTCATCATCACCCTTATGTTTAGGTACCCTTATGTTAAGCTTACAACTAAAAAGAGAAAGATAAATTGTATGTTTTCCAGTCAACTTACTGAATATTATCTATAGAATGTATTTTCCCAGTTTCTCAGTATTCACTGCTATTCCATATAGAAATAATTGTAGTATAAAAACTTAATTTTCAGACTAATAGTCTTGACACTTAATTCCTAAATTTGCAAGCAATGTTTTCAGAATTATGAAATTGTTAACTTAGCCAAAAAGAGCTAAGGTAAAAAGCTCTGTAACCAAGATAGACAGACAAGTCTGTAGTTATTTTATCTTGTAAAAAAAGTTTCCCAGATAATTTAAAAGATTAGCCCAAAAAGAAACAAAATACATGCAATTCCCATTTTTGAAGATGATCTTGAGGCCTGGTCAAACAGCATTTGTTGAAGAGAACAATATGGCCTGACCCTCATACTCAAGCTTTGGTTGTGCATCAGTTTTGTGGCGTAGACTTGTCATGAGTCACTTCCTTCAGAATCTTCATCAGTGAATTCAGGTGAGTGTGTGTTAACATTATCTTCTCTTTTAACTAGGAAGAGAAATTTGTAGATAGTCCACAGAATCTTAACTGTCAGTTTGCTGGTTCTTAGAAACCACTTTAAATTTAAGCTGGTGACTGGGAGCTGGCAATGTCTCAAAACATTTCTTAAATATACTGTTTAATTTCTGAGAAATTTAAAAAAACCAAGAGCACAATAATATCCTCAGATACAAAGTTTCAGTGAAAATGTTTGCAGTCATTGTTATCACTACTATTACCCACTTCTACCTCTTACTACCAGGTTTAAACTCTAAAAGTTGGAAGATAAGAATAAAGTGGGGTAAGGGAGCTTATGGAGAATAAAGCATCAAGTCTTCCCCTCCTTTTCCAGTAGCAAGAATCTATTTTTCCCCAACCCTTTGTTCACTATAACAAAATGCCTTATTTTTTTTTTTTTCAGATTATTTATGCATACAGAACTGGGCATACATACAGGCCAGAGGTATAGGGACAGTAAGAGGATTCAGCAGAGACAGAGTGGGAGCAGTGGATGAGACAGGAAAGGTCTACCGCGCCATGTGGGTCACCTCCAGGGCAGGGATCAAACTTAACAGTGAAGTGGCTGAAGCTAGCTTGCAGTGCTGCCTCCTAACCTGTTGTGCCATTATGGAAGGCCTCTTATTTTAAAATTTTTAAGTAGCTCTGGTTGTCAGGTTTAGAATGTGTTTATTGTAATTAGATCATTTCCAATTCTTTCAGCTTCGAAAAGCTTATCTAGAAACACATTTAATGCTGTCACTTGGTATACAACATGTACTTAAGATTAAAAATTTTCAGGGCCCTCCTGGGTTCAGGTGGCACAATGGGTTAAAGCACAGCACAGCAAAGCCAGCCACAACCACTTCAGCATAAATTTGATCCCCCACCAGGGAGGTGATGCACATTGCAGGGTCTCTCCTGTCTTGACCTTTCCTGTCTTGCCCGCTGCTCTGCCTGTTCTGCTCCCCACTATGTCTCTGGTGAATCCTCTCACCACCCCTGCACCTCTGGCCTGTACCCCAGTTCTGTACACATATATAAATAAATCTAAAAGAAAGATTCAAAGTTATCAGGGAATACAGAATCATAGATAAAAAAGCCTTCCAATATTATTTCTACATAATTTGCACAGTATACTAACCCTACTTTCTATAATCCAAGAATACTCAAAATTCGTCTGGAAATTTTGCTTATAACAAGTAACTTATTAATCTTATTGGACTGTGCTTAGATAATAAATTATTTTTCCATTGCTACTTTCAAAATTTTTGTCTCATCAAAAATTTCATGGGTATGTCAACATATAAGTTGCTGCATTTATCCTTCCTGGTTCTGTTGTTTTTAGATACATAGATCATTTTGACATACATTTTTCATCAAATTTAAGAAGTTGTCAGTGATTATTTCTTTGAATTTTGTTGTTTGCTTCTCTCTCCTTTTGGTGTTTCCATTGCCAAAGCATATTTAGGTATATTTGATGGTGTCCAATAGGCTTCATTTTTCTTGATTCTCTTTTTTGTTTTTAATGCAGTTTTAAAATTTTTATGTATCTATTTTCTTGCATAGAAGAACTGGGGTATAGACCAGAGGTGTGGGGGATAAGAGGATTCACCAGAGACAGAGTGGGGAGCAAAACAGGTTTATCTATTGAAATATACCGCTGAGGGGATCAGCAGGAGAGGAAAGCTCTGCTATGCCACATTTGGGTTAGCTACTTGGCCTGGAACTGAACTTAGGCTGTAGTGGGACAGTGGTGACATTTTACCAGTAGGCCACCAGGAATTTCCTCTTCATTCTTTTTTCTCTCTTCCTTAGCATACATAATTTTATCTAGTTATATCCAAGTTCATTGATTCTTTGACCAGTTCAAATCTGTTGGTGAACTGGTGAGCTCCTCTAATAAATTTATTACAGTTGTATTTTTCAATTCCAGGATTTCCATTTGGTTCTTTTTTATAATTTCCCTTTAGGAATATCCTCTATTTGATGAGATATTGTTATCATACTTCCCATTCTTTTTTTTTTTTTTTTTAAGATTTATTTATTTGGTCCTCCCTGGTGACGCAGCGGGTTAAAGCACTGCACTAAGAAGCTAAAGCCACTTCCGCATGAGTTCGATTCCCGCCTGCCCCGGAGGTGACCAC